CGGTGTTTGGAGCACGGCTACCCCGAGTTAGCGAGCGCTATTAAACAGCCGGCCTCCAAGCTCAGCTCCATTCAGAACCAATTAGTTAATTCCTTAAACTCATTGCTGTCTGCCTACTCTAACCAAGGGCCCGTGGATAAGGAGAATTCGAACACACACTATCAACAGTTGGGTAAATAATATTGGCATAGGTTTCAACGTGTCCGGGCTAAATCTCTTGCCATTTATTCAAGTGTTGAGCAGGGGTGATGCAGTGGAGCTTGGTGGTATTCGTATCAGTCAGTCAGAAATAGCCCTCCTAAACATGTATGAGAAAGGCAAATCTCTGCATATCGTAAGCTATGTGATCTTAAATAAAAAAAGCAGACAAAACCATGTAGGACCTGATAAAGCTGTGCCTCAGTTATATGCAGGATCAGCTTCCAAAAGTGGCTGCATTTGTGGCTATTCCATCAAATAACCATTTTTCTTAATTGCATTGGACACCTCAATTTGCAAGGATATGGGACTCATGCTCACCTGGGGTAAATCAGCATGAAGTTCACCAGAACCAAAACCAATTCAACCTAACTGAGCAACTATGCTGGGAAAAGACCTGTCCCCACTCACAGCTGTTCATCTAAAATAATTTTAGCTTATATGAAGATAAGAATCCAAAACCGGAGGCTGCCTGTGCACTGTTGGGGGGGCTTGCAAATAGATAAGTGACCTATTACTTGTAAGCAATACACGTGAGACTATTCAAACTCCGATGGAAAGACTCATCCATGTAGTATTACGGGAGATTTACACAGGAGATTTCCAATACATTAGTATTGAAAAAAATAAAAAAGAAAACATTATTACAAAAGTAAAACCTACTTATATTCATAGGACGTATATAATTCCCAGTCACTTCCTTTATATCCCCAGTCACTTGGAGATGTTTGAGACCCGTATTTTAAAGGTGGCAGGGCAGGTTCAGATTGTGGCCAGGTGCATCAGTAGTTTTGCAAGACATAAAAAGCATCTCCTAAGATAAACTAAGATGCTTATGGTTATGATTTGTAGTTTGTTGCTAGAGGTTGGGAATAATCATTGATAATTATGGCACATCTGCTTAATTAATCTATTATTTTGTATTTTGCTAGAAATCTCTCCAACCACAAGTCTTAAATCTATCATGAAAAAGAAGGGTTATGGTTTCCATGCAGGAGGCAATGGGACCAAAAAGAATCTTCAGTTTGTTGGGGTAAATGGTGGGTAAGCATCCGTTCAGAAGAGAAAACTGCCTTTTGACATGTGTTGTCCTCTGTATCGCTGAAGAAGTCATTCTTTTTTTTTTCCCTCTTTTCCCCTCCAAACCTCTTGATTAAAAGGCCATTTGAAATGGAGCCTCTTTTCTCCCTTCTTTAATCCAGCACTGATAACCTGTAAGTAACCTTGTAGAAAATGTTGGTGTTTTCAGTGCAGCGAGGGACACCCTGGGGACTGACACTCTCTGCACACCGATCTTTTGGGGCTTCATCCAAAACCCAGCTGGGTCCATGGGAAGATTCCCACTAACTTTGGTGGGTTTTGGAGGAGGTCAGCATTGCCTGGGTGGGCACGCTGCCACTAACCTGCCTCCACTCCAGTGACAGCCAACAAAAGTTGGTTCAGGGACTGAGAAAAGACTATTTCAATAAATAAGAAATTACCTTGGGGTGAAGGAGACCCGTATTTTAGGTTGTGCTCCAACACCCAGTTCCCTGTGTATCCAATATCTAACACTCTTTGGCTTTTGAGCTAACTAGATACAACGTCTGCTGTAGATGCATCTCTAAGAGCAGCACTGGCACATCTTCTACTGAGGAGTACGTGTGCTGGCACGAAGAGGGCAGGATGCATTTCACTGTCCCTTCGCTGTGCAAACAGCTATGTGTGCAAGTTTGGATGCTGGTTTCTGCTGACATACACTTCTGACTTCCCAGCTCGATGGCTACTGCTGTTGGGTTCATCAGGTGTTACTTACTCTTGTTGTGTAGAGCTGCTTCTACCAACAGTCGCTCAAATGAGTACAACTTGTAGCAAGTAGAGGACTCTCGACTAGTTTGAGAAAAGTTTTGGGATGCCTCAGAGTGAAATGTTCTGTCTCATGGAAGATGTTATTGTTATTAATACTTTTGGACAACCAGAGAGGTCTCTCTAGCAGGGCTGCTCAAATGGTGGACTCAGGCCTGTGCTGGAGCTGCAAACACAGTTTTTGTCTAGCGGTCCTTAAGGTTGCCGACATGCCACCTGTCCCATCTTGCCACAGGGTCCGTGTTTCTCACGGCTTCCCATCAGTGTGCCAGCAGCTCCCAGCAGGGAGGTGGCACGCAGCGCTTGCCTGGCCACACTGGGGCTTGTGTGATGGACCTCCCTCCAAACCAACCAAGTAGTCCCTGAAGTAACCTTGGCTGCTGCTAATTAACTGCTTCTATCACACTCCTGCTGGCTTAATAAGCCAAAAAAAAAGACTAACCCCAAATTTGGCTGTGGCTCTAACCTTTTAACTTGTGTATCACTCCGGGCTTCATCCAAGGCCCATTGGAGTCAGTGGGTGTCTTCAATAAGTCTTGGTCAGCCCCTGTGGTTGCAGTTGGGGAAGGAGTGAATAACATGTGGTGTCCTCAAATAGCTATGAAACGACTTCAAGCGAAGACACAAGTTGCGAAGATAGCCCATCGGACGGGGATGCGGAGAGCGAGACAGAGAGAAGAGCTGATGATTTGGAGCCCATGCAGGCAAAAGCTGGACGTGAAAGCGAGGGGTCTTTGTCGGGGACCTCCTTGCAGGGGAGACGTGAGGACGAGGACCTGCAGGAGCCATTGGCAGAAGCAGTGCCTTGCACTCAGCACAAGGCTGACAGGTAACCAGAAAACCAGACAGTGATCACGCTTTCCATCACGTTTCTGCAGCCACAGGACACATGGCACTGCATTCAGTCGCTCCTACAGGGCTGGGGTCGGTGCTTCATCTGCTCGGTGGAAATACAGCCACTGACCTCTGTAGCCATGGGAGAAGGCTTTAAAGAGCTAAATATTTTTTGAGTTACTACAGAATCTAATGGGGATTGATTCAGATCCTATGCTTGACTGTGGAAAACACAGAGTGAGTCATATCTGGTTAGAATTAGCTCATTTCTCGCCTCGCAAGTAGAGTTTCTAAGTAAAGTTCTTTGCAGATTCAGGAATAAGATTCCCACACACACTTTAAGGCTTCTTGTAACAGATGAAGTTGACCATACAGATCTGGAACTCTGGACTTAAACAGCTATTTAAGTGCTTAACTTTGTACCTAAAACCTGTGTCAAGTCAATGGGACAACTTGCGTCCATAAAGTTAAGCACTTGAATAAGTGTTGAATGTATTCTGACCTAAACTGCAGGTTCTCCTTCCTGCTTCAATACCTCCTGCAGGTTCTGTCTCATGGTGGATTTACAGAAGTATTTTCCCTTTAGGTACAAACCGTCTGAAGGTTTCCTTGATGACTGCCAGCTACTCAGCAAGCACCTCTCAGAAATCAGGACCACAAGCGACAAGCATCTGGTACAGATAATTTTCAATCCCATTTCAGACGCGGTTCCCGCTCTCTGTTACGTTTAATGGATAACATTATCCTGATGACGTGTTGCAGGCTGTGCCCTACCATGCCATGGATAGCTTTGTGAGGAGAGGGGGACAAGATGACCTCTGAGTCAGTTTTAGAATAGCCAAAAAGAAAGGAAAAGGGGAAAAAAAAGAAGATTAAGGCTTTCTGTGCTTATTCATTCAAGTTACCACAGGAAATTCCTTTCCCCCTTAAGTTATAGCAGTAATCCCAAAACCACAAGCTAAATACCGGCTGGGCGATGCCAGAGCACAGGACAAAGTGGCGTGGGGCGAGGAGCTGGGGCAGCGACCAGTTTGCAGGATGACTACCCCAGGAGTAATGGTGAGACCTTGGTGTTTTCAGCGGCATGTCCTGAGCACCGTCTGCCAGGAGTGGTTCCGGGTGTCGAGCCACAAGTCTTCCAGCCCGGAGGCAGTCACAGCATATCTCAAGGCATTGGGGGCCATCCAGCCCCAGCTCCTAGCAATGGTGGTGAACCTGGCCGACAGGAATGGCAACACGGCTCTTCACTACAGTGTTTCCCACTCCAACTTCCCAATTGCAAAGCTCCTGCTAGACACAGGTAGGAACAGCCACTCTGCTCAGCCATGGCTTTTGTTGGGTATGGGTGTGGAAGTTACTTTATGTCGCTCTTGTCAATGGGGCATGATCCCATAGGGGATGACCATGGCCAGCAGAGCCAGGTAACAGGGATCCGTCAACAGTCTCAGACATGGCAAACAGTGAATGAGGACCAGGGTTGTCCTAGGGAGTTCAGTCAGGAGCAAAAGGAGATGGGACAGAGATGGGGCTGGGGACCAACTACAACCTACATGCGAGGGAGCCATCTGGTAGACAAGCATGGGGCCAAGGTCCATCCAAGAGACAAATGTGGGGCCAAGGTCCATCCAAGGGACAATTGTAGTGTCAAGGTCCACCCAAGATACAAGCATGGGGCCAAGGTCTATCCCAGATAAAAGCATGGGGCCAAGGTCCATCCAAGAGACAAGTGTAGGGCCAAGGTCCACCCAGGAGACATGGTTGATCTGAAGACCAGCATCCTCCCCCATGGCTTGGCCCTGGTCCCGTGGGTGTGGGCAGGAGTCCCAGCTGAGGCTCCTCAGGGACATTAAGGCTCATTAGTGCCCTCAGGGCGTGACACATCTTGAGGGCTTTGCAATCTGACTTTGTAGAGGGCTCAGGGTCCCCGTGGCCAAGGGGTATCTCTCATGGCCCCAGTCCAGGTGGGATGGGGTGGCTCCCCCAGCTTCTTGTAGCAGCAAATGCCACATCATGGCTCAGAGCTGGAGGATCAGATCCCTGAGAGCATAACAAACCTCACAGTGCTGCAGAAAAACTCCATTTTAAACTACTGAACTTTCAGCTCACATTGCAAAGAAAGAAAAATCTCAGCTGAGCTTGTACGGGGGAAAAATGCACGCACGCTCAGCAAGAATAAAGGCACTTTGGCCTTTTCTCATGGGCCAGACAATCTGTTAAATGTTAGGGAAATGGCAGATTATCATACACATCTATAACCCGATTGTTGCCACAGATGCACAGGGAGCCATGACGGTTTGTCCCCTCCTGCCGCTGAGTGCCCGAGGCGGCCGGGTCCCCAGGGCAAGGCTGGACCCATGCCCGAGCCTGTCAGACATGGCTCGTTCCTTGTGGTGGAGTTGGAAATAGGCTCTTTGAGGTGAAAAGTGAGTGAAACGGGGCCAGGATGGATTTACACTGCCTGTTGGGTGACGGTCGTCTTTCTGCTGTGCCCTTGCTGCAGGAGTCGAAGCAAACAGGCCACAGCTCCACAACTGGCGTGTGCCCAAGGCATTAATTATCCCCCCCCCCCTTTTTTTTTTGGTTATGGTCTTTGGTTAATTGAGTTGACTTTAACTTTGGTTAATTGAGTTGACCTCAGCAATTGTAATTAACTGTAGCAATGCATAGCACCAAATATCCTTTAATGCTGTGCTCACAAGACTAGATATTTAACACGGATAAATCTCAATCCTGTATAATTATGGAACCTCCTGTTTCTGGGAATATTAGATGCTGCATGTTTTATAATTCCCTCTTTGCTTCCCGTTTGCTCATCTCTCTCCATCTGATTCATTGTGGGGCTGAATCCTTCCCTGCATCGCCCACCAGGCGTGTGCCGCCTGGACCTGCAGAACCACGCCGGCTACACGGCAGTGATGCTCACCCCGCTGGCAGCTGCCGAGACGGGTGAGGACATGGATGTGGTGATGAAGCTCCTGAAGGAGGGGGACGTCAACCTGCGAGCTGCCCAGGTGCGTCCCTGTAGTTCTGCTGTTTCTTTGAAAACTGAGTGTGGCCCTGCATGGGATCATGCCGTGGCTGCGGGCAGAGGGTGGCCAGCCCATTTATTTGGCAAAGGCATCTGCAAAGTGACTCCTGCTGAGCTCGTAGCCTCCTATTTACAGCCTTCGCTGTGTGATGTCAATTCAGGCTGTGGCATCATCATGTCCCCATAGAGGTCTCGGGTTGGGGCGGCGGATATAATTCAAGTTCCTTACACTGCATGTGCAGTGCCAGGCTGAGACTCAGCCGTAGACGTCGGATTGGAGTTGCTGTTTCCCAAAAGTTAGAAAAGCAACCTCAGCCAAATTGCAGCATGGCCACCCAACAGCTCCCTGTGAAGGGACGCGAGAGCTGGGTAAAATGAAGAGGCAAAAGGAAGGCTGAAAATTTTGCAAAACAATTTGAGCTAAAAAGTTAAAAGTGATACCAGGGAGGAGCGGTGCGGGGTGGCCCCAGGGTACAGGATCCCCAGGTTTGCTGGTGAGCAGTCGTTTCATCAGTCACACATTTCAGTCTCAGAGGTGGCAGTGCCCTCATGCAGCTCTTCTTCCGAACAGCTGTAAAAGTTAGTCTAGGCCTAAGTTAAACTGCCCAGGAGGGTTAGGGGGACCTGGCTTTGGGGGCGACTGGGGCCGGGCAGTTTGGTCATGCAAAGACCCTCCGCTTGGCCGTGGTGCAAGTGAGCAGATATCTCTTGCAATACCTGCTGAAGAGCCCCAGTGTTACTTAATAATATGCAGTAATATGCAATAATATGCAGTAATGTGCAATAATAATAATATGCAATCTTATGATATATATGCAATAATGACATTCATTATTATTATAATATCTAACAGTCTGAATGGGCAGGACTATAGTTGGTTAAAGGGTGTTCAGCCTTTCACTCTGTGGTTGCAGGGAGGCCAGACCGCCCTGATGCTGGGGGTCAGCCACGAGCGGGACGACATGGTGCGAGCCCTCCTCTCCTGCCAGGCCGATGTCAACCTGCAGGATGAGGAGGGGACGACAGCCCTGATGGTGGCCTGCCGGCAGGGCAACGCTGACATTGTCAGGCTCCTCTTGGCCCAGCCCGGCTGCCAGGTTTCACTGACGGACAAGGTGAGGCTCTGGTGCCGCACTCGATCCTGTACACAGCCTCACATCCACCAGGCAGGGAAAGCTCACATGGGATCATGCTTTACAGGTAGCAATCCCCGAGTGGTGGTTTTTAAGTGAAGAAGTACAATTTCGGTCCACTTTCTAATCAGGGGACCTCTTAGGAGAGTACCCCGATTTTGATGCTTGTTGTGCAGTGGATGGGATGGCTGTGCAGCATCCTGCATCCCAGCCGTAGCCTGGGCAAGAGCACTGGGGGGAAGAGCCCAACCTGGTGTAAACCTAAAAAAGAAGATGAAATCCTCAACATGTGGAATTAGAAGAGCTTCAGCTCCAAGAAATTAGCAGCAATTAACTCTCCCCTGAGAATGGATGCCTCTCTGGGGGGACACGTGGGATGGGGCTGGGCTGGGAGCAGCATGGCTGGCCGGTGGAAATCCTCCTCCTGCACAGGCTCACGGCAACGGGCCACATGGCTGCATTTATAGTTATGCACTATTTTCTAAATAAACAACAATTTTGTCTAAGACATGCGGGTCGGCACAGGGACCAGGAGATGGTACGGCCAGGATGCGTGTTATGCGGTTGAGGTTAACCCCCAAAACACCACGGGGAGGTTTGCAGGACGGTGACTCATTTTAAACGAGGGAGGAACCGTAGGGAAGGTTTTGGGGGTAGATGGCTGGGTGCGAAGCTGCCCTGGCCAACCACTCGCTGGAGAGCTGAGAAACACTCGTCAGCAGACTGCAAACAGCCTCCCTTAGCAGTGATGGGGCCAAGAAGTGGGGGCTGTTGAGGGTGGAGTGGAGTGGATTATGGGGGTGGCCGGGGCGAGATGCAGGGATTCGGGCAGTAATGTCTTTGCCTGCTCCCTCCCCACAGGGCGGTAACTCGGCCCTGTCACTGGCCCAGCACGCGGCCCGTGGGGACATCGCAGCGCTCCTGCGAGCCCACGCTGAGCAGAGCCCGTCCCTCTCTGCGTGACCGAGTGGAAGAAGAAACCGGGACGCGGAGCAGGGAGCAAACAGCTCCTTCTTGTAACGGCCCCACTGCCTGCCTTGGCGGCTAGGGCCAATATCGCAGGTTTCCATATGTACAGGGGGATGAACCCTGTCAGTTATCTACAAACGTTCCCTGTGTCTAATTCTCCTCATTAAGCCTGCTTACACCCCCCTAATCTATGCACATTGCCACACATGACTCCAAGTTCTCCTATACACTCCTCCCGTTATAGATTTGGCAGCGACTGAAATGAAGGAGAAAAGCACATTAGAAAAGCAATACTTAGTCTTTTGTAACCTTACATTATGGTTGTCCTTTTAATCGACTACTTAACTGTATCTCATTTAACTTGTAAGTTTGTGTCCTAATATTTATTATTAGCGCTTCTGTACGTAGTGGCAGGCAGTGATTATTCAGTATATGTAACAACAAACACAAGCTGGATGGATTATGTAAAGTATAAAATCCTATTTATGTTTGCTTATGTGGGTCTGATGTAAGAATTAAAAATTAACGCTCTAGGAAAATATTTGAGTATACTAGACCCAAACACACAGACATTGTTTTGCCTGTATTCGGAATTACCATATGGCTCTTTTTTTTCCTAATTAAGTTTGAGCTAACAGGGAAGCGTAGCCCATTGACATGCACCGTGCATCAGCACATGCGATGCTCAGGCACAGCAGGGCAGATCAGGTTATCCTGAGCACGGCATGAGAAGATCACAACAGATTCCCATCCCAGGATGCGTTAATGTTGTCCAAGAGTTCCATGGAGGGACTCTGCTGACAGATGCCTTTTGGGCAAAAGTCTACTTTCTGCTTTCCCTCGTGCTCAATGTTCAGATGCCCAAACCACTCCATGTAAAGCCATGCTGTGATTTAGCTGCTGGAGTCAGCTGGTGCCAGGGCCTCCCCCACCATGGATACCCACAGGGTCAGTCCAGCATCACCTCAAATCATACATAGGGCAGGGTTTTTTTCTTAAATCCCTCTGCCGCTGACAAAGAGAGAGGCAGGGCTCAGACCCTACTTTTCCAAACATCTTTACACTGTCATTAAGTCGCTGTGTACTGGGAACTGCCATTTCATGAGGCTGTGCTGTATCTCTGTAGGCTTTGGTGGCCCTGGATGCCATCACCAGTTGAGCTGGTGCGTAGTACACCACCGTAAACCCAGAGCTACTTGTCACCACTAAAAGCAAATCTCCCTAGTTAGCTAATTACTTTTCTTTTTTTGTTAATAAGCAGAAGTTAATCCTAGACTACTTTGGTTGCTTGTAAGTCAATTCACATCATGATGAAGTCTCTCTTGAGCTGCCTTTTCCCTTCCCTCGTATGTGCAATACGCAGCAAAGCCATTGCCGAGTCCCTGTCCTCATGCCGGTAATGCTCCCACTGCCTTGCGGGGAGGGGAGGACAGACCCTGCCCTCTGTTTTCCATTGAAATTTGCCGTCTGCTTCGTTTCTTTCCTTTCTTCATGTTTTCAGTCAGAAGCATTCATCATCTCGAATGTCTATGTATCTGCCTTTTTTTTTAACTCAAAATGCAGTTACCTCCTTTATGTATAAATAAACTCGAGTTAAACCTTTACCTGCATTTGCTCCCGTGCCTGTCCCCATCGCTGTGGTGCTCTCCTGGCGCGAGGCAGCAGGGTTGCTCTGACAGACAGGCTGACCCCTAAAAGCAAAGGAGCGGGGAAGGAAAGCCCTTGGCCTGTGGTGACTGTACATACATGCATGTCATTAAATCAGTCATTTTTGAGGTGTTTCTTCAGATCAATGACCCCTCCCGGGAGGTCCCAGGCCCCAGGTCACCACACAGACATGGCAAGGTGGATTTTTTTTTGCAGGAATCACCCCGACTTGCATTCCTGGATGCTGAACACCCAGCGCCAGCATGAGCACCCATTGCGTTGCCGCCAGGCCCCAGCTGCAAATAAAAAGAGCCATAATACCATTTTGTGACAATTTTCACTGAGGTTTTTTTCCCCGCCAGCTCTGGAGTCATGCTTGCGGAGAGGAGTTTCACTCTGACTCTTGCTGCTTCCCAGAGGGAGGGGAACATTCTGGCTTCAACATAATAAATGTGGGAGATTTTCTGCTAAGGATCAGGGTTGCTTTGGGAAGCGCCTGCCTCCTCCTGCCTGCGGGATCCCTTGGGATATCGAGCTCACTATCATGTGATTCAGGGACAGGACATGTTATTTTGAGGGCATGCTGCAGCTCTGCAGCAAGGAAGCATGGACTTTGCTGCCTTCACCCTGCCTCCCTCTGGGTCCCCCTTTCCCTCACGATCCTGTCCCTGCAGCCCAGACTGGTTAACGCATACAACCCCAGAATATTTATTTTCTTTCCTTTGCCGCATATTTCCTCTTTTCCCCTCAAACCGTCTCCTCGGGAGGAGCAGCTCCCACAGGGTGACCCCCTGGAGCAGCTCCTCTGCTCACACGGACCCTGTCGACGCTGCCTTCGGCATCTCCCAGTGCCCAGCATCACTCTGTTGAAGTACCGGATGGCACAAAACCGATAGAAAATCATCTGCAGGATCTCAGTGCCACAAAGCACCCAAGAGCTTAATTTACACATTTTGATATCATGGTAGAGATCAAACTAAATATAGGCAAGCAAAAATACATCCCCAGTGCAAGCACTGTACAATACAAATGGAGACAATTAAGTCGCAGCAAGGAAAGAAATTAATCTAACAATTGTTACGGGCTCACCATCTAGGAGCTGATTAGCTATGAAGGGGAAGAACGACAAGAAAACTCAGCTGAACATGATTTTTCCACTCTCCTTATGGCCATTTCTTGTGTGCACCTTTCTTTTGCTGCAAGGAGGGGAGCAGGGACTTGACAGTCTCATCCAAAGCACCTCCATGGTCAAGGAGAACCATGTCACTCTGTGTAGCCCTTAGCATCCATACTGGGACTGAAAACGGGATGACTTCCAGCAATTCTCTGTTTTTCCCTCTAGTTTACTGATAACTTTTAGAGAAAGCTCTCTGCCACCCAGACGTTGTCGCCCGACCCACGTGCATGTGAGCCCATTGGGTGTCCCCAGGGATGCTGGGATTGCCTGAGCGGGATGCTGGACACCGAGTGCTTTAGTGGCAGAACGGGGATGGGAAGATGGAATGGTGGTGCTAAAGGGGATATGCCAGAGTAACAACAGCCAGCTCCACCCAAGGTCCATCCTGGGGAGAAGGGGACCCTGGATGCCTGGAAACGTTCAAGGTCAGGTTGGACGGGGCTCTGAGCAACCTGATCTAATTGAAGGTGTCCCTGCTCATTGCAAGGGGGTTGGAGCAGATGACCTTTAAAGGCCCCTTCCAACCCAAACCATTCTACGATTCTATGCCCCGTGCCTGGAGACCTCATCCATGGCTGGCAGGCTCCAGCTCCACGGCAAATGCTGGTTTTGAAGCAACCATACAACCATGTGGCGCGTGACCGTGCAGGGGCTGCACTGGGGTGCGGACCCCTGGGGCAGCGGAGCCCCTGGCCCCCCCGGGGCTGTGTCTGTCCCTGCTTTGCCCCCAGCTCTCCTCTGTGCCCCAGCCGACCTCACTGGCGCTGGACCAGGCCAAAGCCACGTGAGACCCTCTCACCCCAGCCAGCCACCTTCTGCGCATGGTTTGGAGTCAATACCCACGCCAGATACAACACACAAAAGAAACAGCTGGCGGCCTCGCCCCTCCTTGCCAAAAACCAGATGATCTCAAATTGTTCCTCCCACCGCTTGCGAGTTGCCAAGGCGGGGGAGTGATGCCTCCCTGGGGGCACCAGGGTTGGAAGACAATATCCAGAAATTTTAGTGGGGGGCACATGGAGACATGGCCAAGCTGTGCCCCCCCAGAGCATGACAGCCCCCGCAGCCGCCCCTGTGCCGTCCTGACATCAGCTGCAAGATATGCGAGGAATGAAAACGCTGGGTCCGTGGCGAACTGTGCGGTCCCTGTGATCCGGACAAAAGGCTGCCTTTTGCTCAGCGCCTGCGTCTGTGGGGTGGTAAAAACATCACGGGTCTTGTGTGAGGGGTGGCGGGCCTCCGGCTGGGAAAAGAAACGGCAAAGCGGGCGCCATCCCTGCTGCAGGGATGCAGACAGTTCCTTGGCACCAGCTTGAGACCATATAAAGCAGAGAAGGGGATGAAATAATTGCAGTAATTTGCTAACATTGTCCAGGCTACTTCAAATGTTGCAGCTAGCTTTTCTAAAGGTTAACTCATTTCTTGTGCTGTAAGTATCAGGTATCCTCAGCCTGTGGCACAGAGGAGGACCCTGCTCCCTCTGGCAGGGCAGGAGTGGGGCTGGGAGCCCCAGGGGGACACAGGCACAGGGAGAGCAGGACAAGAAATGTCCCTCGGCCTCCGAAACGGGGCCGTGGCCACATTCAAAGCACAAGGAGAGAGCAGACCACCTCGAGCCCAATGTGCACACAGAGCCCCATGCAACTGGTGAACACAACCTCCGCAGTTAATTAAATTAGCAGGCTGTTCCCAGGCGGTGGGGACGTGCCTTGGCTCCGCTCCTTTGACATCTGCGGGCAGCTCCTGCCTGCTGCCTCCCGAAGTGGGGTGAGGACTGGGTGCTGGGACGAGCCTCTTGAGGCTTAACGCTGGGGAAGAGGTAAAACCGATGACCGGCAGCTTTCTCGGGTCTGAGTCAAAGCACGGGGTACAAAATACAATAAATTCTTTCCCTTTCCTCCCCCAGTCTCACCCATGCGGGTGGCAGAGAAAATCAGCACCTCTTGGTTTATTGCCCAGAAACTGCCCCATCAGCAGCTTAGATGGTGTCAGCTCAGTGACTATCAGCAGAATTTAATACTCTTCTAAGAGACTAACATCTTGGTGGCAAAGGCAGATTTATTTGCTGCAGAAGAATGAGCTGCCACAGGGGCAGCATGTCGGACAGCACCTCCGCTTTGGGGTCTGTGGGGCCAAGCTGCCTCACGGCGCCCCATCCCGTCCACACGGCCTGGTGTGGAGGGGCCACCCAGCCCTGCTTTTGCCAGGGAGATGGGCAGTTATCAGCAGGGGTGAGATGGGCCGTGATTTCATTTCCTAGAAATCTCTCATCATGGTACCCAGGTGCCTCCTCCTTTTTGCAGCACATACCTATTTGCAGGGGAAAAAGCCAGCTCAGAGATTTGGGAATTTGTCTCTCCTGGTCTGGACTGCGAGGACGGAGCATCCTCAGGGCAGCCCCTCCGCCAGGGCTACCAGGCCCGTGCTGAAGGCAGCAGAAATACAATATTTTGTCAATTGCTCCATCTAGTGCCGTTTCAGCAGAAAAAGATACGGGAGTGCCACACCAGGAGCCGGTGCAGCCGCGGCAGCTGGGGCCTGCGCAGCTTTCCCCAGCTGGTGGCTGTAGCCGTTTGGTGAGGATGCGCCAGGTCCCTGCCCTGGTCCAGCGCTGGTGATGTCCATCAGCTGATGGCAGCCGTGCACAAGGGGCTCAGGAACATGCTGAGCCTCCCGCGTACGCTGCTAGGTGGGATGAAAAGAAGGGTAAAAAAAGTACTAAGTGATTTCTTAATATTTGAAAATGCTCATAGGGAATATTATGTTTTCAAGGGCAGATAATTTCCTGTAAGAGTTTGTAGTCCCATTTTGAGAAAGATGAGAGAAATATGATAAATAAAGCAAAGGCTCTTGGCCCTGGGTCTGCAAGGTAAGAGCAGATTTCAAAACTCTGGTAGGGTGGGCTCAAGCCGTCGAGGAAATGAGGACCAGCAGCCGACACGCCACCAAAACCTAGGCGTCACTCAAAGACCAGGGATCACGTACCTCCAGCACGTGCGATCTGTGAGGGGAAAATCTGAGGTGGGGGGGATTAAACAACACGCGGCCAGCAACAGCTCACGCTTTACCCTGCACAGGGTAACACCAACATAGACAGCAACTGCCCACATTTGCTACCCCACTCCCCAATTTAAAAAACAGCAATATTTTAAAAGGTTTGCCTGCATAATAATAATTCATCCAGTTTTATCTGCTCCCCCTCAATGCAGCAAGTTAAAGTTTTTTGTGAGCATCAGGGGTTGCACACTGATTCCTGCTTCTCTGGCAGGAGCAGTAAAACACCCAACTAAGAAATAAACCTGTCTCTGACAGGCACAGTCCCACATGTACTTTTCACTGGCTAAAGTTGCTTTCTAGAGAGCAGCTGCAGACACCAGGCCAGTTGTCGTGGTTTAACCTCAGCCAGCAACTGAGCACCCCACAGCCACTTGCTCACTCACCCCCCCACCCCGGTGGGATGAGGGAGAGAATCGGAAGAGTAAAAGTGAGAAGAACTCGTGGGCTGAGACTATACAAAACAAGTGATGCACAATGCAATTGCTCACCACCCGCCGACCGATGCCCAGCCAGTCCCCGAGCAGCGGCCCCCCCGGCCAGCTTTCCCCAGTTTATGTACTGAGCATGACGTCACATGGTATGGAATGTCCCTTTGGCCAGTTTGGGTCAGCTGCCCTGGATGTGCCCCCTCCCGGCTTCTTGTGCACCTCCAGCCTTCTCAGTCGGTAGAGCATAGGAAGCTGAAAAGTCCCTGACTTCGTATAGACACTGCTTAGCAAC